GGGGGAGAAACAGATATGATCTAAATTTCTTTCTCTTTATAGTGCGATTCCCTGAGTATACCGTTCACGTATTAAAAACAAACAACAATCTAAATCTAAGATAAATCTAGAATCTAGATTCTAGATAAAGATCATCAACTTCAAGTAAGAAAAGTAAGTTCAAGTTAAATTTTAGAAGGGGCGGATGCTGCTGTAGGCCTACTGGACGAACTTCGTCATTGCCGAGTTCATCCAAGTAACTTCCTTGATAAAAGAAAGCGAAAGGAACTGGCGATATGACTGAAAATATCCTCAAGAAATAAAGCCCATAGTGAACAACTCTTTACACACAGAAATACATACCGGCATTTTGATTTTATTTACGTGCTTATCTTGATGAACACAGACTAATTCCACAAACAGGGAAATACAACCGGTGATGTGAAACAACCACTCTTGGTCAGAACTGACAATACACCGTCAATCAGGTTTTCAGTTTGGATGCCAGATAAGCCAAAAGATGATCGATTAAATTGGTTTATAAAAGCTCACTAAATTAATAATGCCTCTTTATTTTTCGTCATTTTTATTCTACTACTATGAAGACAGAGCTATTGAATAAAAATGTACATAGAAAACATCCATTCCGCTTATTTAGTTTAGCACCATATCAACAAATACCAGGAAAATCCTCTTTCTGTAAGGTTCAACTTCTATTGACAATAGTGACAGGGAAAGCCTAGGTGACAGGCCAATGATCTTGGGCCTATTTTCAAACAAAGAAACGAAAGAAGTTTCCCTCTTTTTTCAGTCACTACAAATTTCTAAAACATATCAAATAAATAGATAATCTAATGTAACGGTTACAATTAATACAATGAAATTATATAAAAAGTAGTCTTTGACAATCAGCTGCTTTAATGTCAATGCGGCAACTCAATATAAAGAGGTAAACTTCCGGTTCAACTTCCGGGTTGACGGTGTACTCTTCATTTTAGTTTCCCTGTACAAAATATTATTTTTTTATTATCTCAATAACCAAATAATATTATAATTACAATGTATAAAATGTACATGTATTATTTTGGCGAATAGAATAATGTTGCTTTGAGTGCTACCCGATTTGAAGACTGATACAGACGCACGACTGAGAAAAAAAGGGGCGGGGGGCTAAGAGTAAATATGTATGATAAACGGACAGAAAATAACCAAGCAGAAGAGTGGATATTGGTAAATGTCACTAAATGTATGTATAGCGTGCGGCGTACGTGTATGTTCCACCCGTGAGGTTCTCGGGGCCATGTCCAAGAGACAGGGGAAGGGAGAAGGGCTGAAAGAATATTTTCTCAGAGGAGTAGGGAAATTGACTTTTCTCAAACCGAAAGCTTTTCACACTTTTTGCCCTCTTCCTCACTGTAATGTTAGTCTACACACACGACTGTAAAACTGGAGAGACGAACACACACGACAGCAAGCATTCTTATTATGAGCCCGGGTGTAGTGTCTGACTTTTTATGTAGATCCCCGAAGTGAGTAACATTAACCAAGAGCCCATGGCATACGGGGCGCTTACGTCCCGTGAGTAAAAAAGAGTAAGGTACAATACGGTGACTACCGTGACACTCACCCATCCTCGGTTGATTCCAATTGAACACAGAAATATATATACATGTATATGCACAAAACAACGAAATTAACAATAACTCCAGTTGAAACCACGTTCACACAAACACACGCACACACACTCACACACACTCACACACACACACAAACACATCAAATTGTACACTGTACACACGTACACGCATGCATGTACTCGCTCAGACAATAACACAAAACACACGCGCGCGCGCGCACACACACACACACACACACGCGCGCACGACACACGCGCGCACGACACACGCAGAGAAAGAAATGAAGAGAGAGCGAGAGAGAGAGAGAGAGAGAGAGAGAGAGAGAGAGAGAGAGAGAGAGAGAGATCATGCACATATACACATTCGAGTGCCTCCCCACCGAAAAAAATAATATTTTAAAAATCTACACAATATTTTAAATCGATATTTTAGATTGTGGCTCCTTATTGATCCCTGCATATACTAAAGTAGGCTATCTCACACAGATCGAGTTGGGTCGAAATAGCCCGACACCAAAATGATGGAAACGCAATAAAACCGTTCCAGTTACACAAGTGCAGGCCTACCCAAGTAAATGAAGTCAGTTACATGTACAAATTTAGTTGTCTTTTCAGATTGTAGTGCGGATGGCCCTTGTTCGATCCCAAAAGGGTTAATCTTAGACTCTGGTTGTTTGAGAACTTTTTTTTTTTTAAGTCGAAGGTTTCACCATGAGGAATGTCACTGTTGTGTAAAGTGTTCTCTTAGTTCTCAAAGGAATTTCCAAGATTTTATTTTATTCATTTATTATTGTTTAGGTAATATTTTTTTACGGTGCTCCCGACTACATAAGGTCATACATGTATAAAATAATATGAGCGCGCGGGGACACATTAAAGAGGGGGGG